TTTCTATTTTTATTTTGAAAGTCTGAATTATTACTTTACGATGTCATTGTTTAAAGTTTAATTTGTCCACATCTTCTTTATCATCAAAAAGCTACATATGCTGTTTTCTTTTACAAAACGTTAACCCATACACGTTGCATTTTAAAGGAATAAACATTAATTGTAAATATATAAATATGGTATAGGTGGCTGAAAACTACGATATTTTCTAAGTAGTTTCAAAAAGAATATTTCTGTGACCTTTCTCGGAGTTTGTAACAATAACTTCACAAAAGACATAGAAATACTTAGCCAAATTAGATTCTGAAGTAATATAAACTTTTGAAGTTTGAGCAAGTTCATCGCAAATAAATTTTTCAAATAGCTAAGGATGAAATCCTATTTGTGATATTTAATTTTTTGTTGTTGCAGTAATTTTGCACAATAATGTATAGGTCTGACGAAGGAAGCTGGAGAGCGGCCGCGCAGGTACTTGCCCATTTATGACCTATTTGGGTAAGTCACTTGGAACCGATACACAAATAGCTTTCAGTAGGCGTAAATTATAGTATTAATACAGATAGAGCAGTAGCGTACTAGAAAATAATGTAAAAACATGACTTATCAGAAAGAAAAAAATAACCTATTGCTTTTGTTTTGTAGTTAGTATTCACATTCACCCTCATCATGGGAACCTCTATCACTGTCACAAACATCAACAATTAGTTCTTCTGTTTGTCTGTCTCTTACTTGCTCACTGATCCCTATTTTTAAATATTTAATCTACGCCCCTGATAGGAATACTGAACAATAAGGGCTGCAATCTTTATACCTAAAACTGCCTACTTTTGCTACCGCGCATCCACGCCATTTTAAAATTTCCGCCAGCATCCAGCGTCAGGCCTGTAGTTCTTTGTTGCCCAGTCTTTACCTGTATACGTTTGTCTCGCATCCCTTCCCATGAAACCCTCTCATCGTACCATGGATCTTGGTTGGTACCTATAAAAAACGGCTCCCACGCTTCAAAAGTTTTCGTTCGTGTTACCCATTCACTAATTTCCATTTCCTCACTGTCAATACTCAACCAGGATTCAAAATGCGGAAAATTGTGACATATGCCGCACATGTAAAAATGAAATCGAATTGCAGTTTTGTTATGTATCATTTCTCTCAGTTCGCTTTTGTGTAGGGGTGGTTTCATCCCTTCGTTTATCTCGAAACCGTGAATGGCGTAAACAACTGGCTGTTTCGAATAGGTCTCAGGATCTTCTTTCGATATCATGTGAAGAAATCGTGACGAAATGTTTAAACTGGGATACATTTCTATATCCGCGGAAAGTATAAAATGTGTTTCAGACATTTTTCGTGCTATATTACGCGCTACGTTTACCATAAAAGGTTCGTTGTGTTTGTCTTTGAACGACTGACCGCTTGAATATGTTTCATATGGAGGCTTCTGGGAGCAATTAACAGGTTTTCTAGATAGAAAGTTTTCATACGCCAAAATCTATAACAATGAGGAGAGAATAAATCTAATGATTACTTTATGATTCAATAACGTTCATAAGCAGAATTAAACCGATATGATAAATTTTCTTTCCTTATTATTTCTTGATTTTACAAACTCTTTTCCCAGACAAAAATCTTTAGACGGAGAGTATGATCATTATCATTTATTTATTTTGGAATACTACAACGACATTCTAAAAAGGTTCTATTTCAGACATTATTTTTTGTCCTGGTTTCAAAAATAATTACAATACTATGACGTAAAACATCTCCACAGCATGTCGGAAAGAAAGAACAATTTTAATAGTAGCATTATGTGAGAATAAAGATAATCTCCAGAAGTAGGCTCTTAATTCGGATGTTTACGGATGATGGTATTGAATTTCAAAGTTTTTTATAAAATTAACATTGAAAAAATAACCTTTTATTCAAACTATTCTATAATANAATGTTTAAATTTTAAGTTGTTATAGTCATAAGAATTATTTACTTATATTTAAGAAAATGTACATGTAGCAGCCAGGTCCTCGGACGCAACCCTGTCATAAAGTTTATTACCGTTGCTTAAAGAAGACCTCTGGGACGGTCAAGAAGTACTAAGTACTGTACAATTTGAAAAAGGACGAAATCGGCAGTCGAAGAATAACCCTCGAAAAAGTTAGACGTCGTGAGGGCTTGGCTCATTCATGTAAAGCTTCCATGTTCTGTTAATAAATCGTTATATTTACACGTCCCTGTTAACGTTACTGTTATATTTCTACAAATATATTGGAGAGTGGGGTTTAGGAGAGTTAAAATTTACATTTATGGTTACATGTGTTTTTGGATTAGAAATCTGAAAATTATAAAAGAAAATATTTTTGTCGAAAAAATTAAAAATATTTTTTAGATTCCACAAAAGTCCAAATTTATCGTACCTTTCAGGCTAGAACCAACTGTACACATTCACAAAATTTCATTGAAATCGATTGAGTGGTTTCGAAGATTAGCATGTACGAACACATTGACATGTGATTTATTTATTTATACATTAAGATATGATATAAGTTAGGTACTTATATGGGGGCTCAAGAATCTGCTTATCGTGATTTGATTGAGCAGTAATCTACGTAAAATGGTAATTACTAGTGTCAGAAACATATTAGATTAATACTGTTGCGTGCTACAATTAACAGTAAGTTTTGACGACGACTGCTCATTCGATGAAACAGGTTGAGTTTCGGTATTGTTGAGATGTCCTTTGTTTACAATTGGCATTTTCAGTGTGCTCCGTATCATTGTGAAAAGCTGCAGAGTGGTAGTTTTCGTGAAAATGCATGGAGTATCTCAAAAAGGGAACTCATAATGACTAGCTTCGTTGTTTAGTATTGCAGAACAGTTTTGTTTACCGAAAACTTCAGCACGAAATCAAAAAGAAGTAACCATCAGTAATTATCTCCACATGCTTATCGAGTTTTATTTTCTCATATCATCGTCTTAATAAAAATAATACATTTCAATTACTTGCAAAAAAAATGTTTTCGGATTCATATAAATACCAATGGTGATCATTAAATATGTTTCTGGAATTTGTAAGTGTTTTTATCTAAAATGTTTAAATTCTGTGAAATGATAGTAATTATACTTATAATCATTATTTGACTTGCCACTCATTGCAGAAAAATTTCCGAATTCTATACTTCTTCCTTATCTTAAAATACTGTTATCCAGCAAATTTGTTCCAAAAAGTATTTTTGTTTATTATCCCTTTTTGTTAATTTAGAAATTAGAAAAAGGTTGTTAAGGGTGTATGTTTGGAGCGCAGCGCTGTACAGGTGCGAAACATGGACAGTGGGCGCGGCGGAAAAGAAAAGGTTAGAAGCGTTCGATATGCGGTGTTACAGGCGAATGATAAGGATACCGTGGATAGAGAAGGTTAGAAATGAAGAAGTATTAGAACGAATAAGAGAACAGAGTACTCTATGGAAGTCAATAAGAAATAGGCGAGATAGGTTGGTAAGACACCTTCTCAGGCATGAAGGTCTAGTCAGAGATATATTAGAGACAGAAACGAAAGTTAGGAGGGGTAGAGGTAGACGTAGATTAGATTACTGTTCGCAAATAGTTAAGGATATGGGTTGCTTTAGCTTTAGGGAAATGCGGAAAAATTGTCGAATTCTATACTGCCTCCTTATTTCAAAATATTGTCGTATCCAGAAAATTTTATTTTTGTTTAATTTTCCTCTTTGTAATTTTTGTGTCTTACCTCGTCTGGAAAGTAGGTCATTTGAAAGAACAAATGAAAAGAAACCGTTTCGCTTACTAATGGATTTCCACATTCGCGTAGGTAGGCTATGGATTCTAAGGCCAAATTAAAGTCACTACCTGGGGCGTACACTGCAACACTAACTGGTCCATCCCAACTTTCCACAATCGGCAAAACATTGCCCAAAAAATTGTAAGTTGCCGTAGTAGCAAAAGTTACACTTTCTTCACACCTGTATGTCCTTTTCGCGGCGACGAAATTACTAAGGACCCAGTAAGGACCCCACTGCATTATATTGTGCTCCCTCGGCAAATCACGACATTTAGTTATCTCTTTGATTCGTCGAAATATATGTGATTCAGTAACGAAATTGTCCTTACTGATTACAATACTGCCTGGTTCTGCATTAGTGTATATTCGTATATCTGTATTTGCCACTATAAGTCTCTTTTCAGTTTCTTTGATGTCTTCAGTTTCCCTTAACACTTTACTTGTTGAATATCCAAATTGCAAATACAAATTAAATGACATAATTACGAGAAACAATAGGAAAAATAACAACTTCGTTGGTACATTCTGAGGCATTGCCATTTTCATCATGAGTCTTCAAAACACAGTCTTATTAACACTATTACTATTCGTTTTATGACATAAAGCGTGTCAGTTGTTTTACATCCACTGATATTTTCTAACCAGCAGTAAAACGTAGTCAATTTATTCTTTTATACACCTACTCTTGTATGTATAGGTACTATATTACATCTGTTGGCTACGCACTGCCTTGTCATTTATAATAAAAATATTAAACAAAAGTAATAAATATTTACCCAACTTTGGCTAGGTATATGTCCGGTTTAACTTGCTTCTAATGAAAAAATAGCGGTATTTTTATTTATATTATTGTACACATCAAATATTATGAAAATAGAAAGTCCTCCTTCTTTATTGGAATTCTGTAAAAGAATTTTGTACAATAATCCTAGTTTTGCTACTCGAGATTACAAGAGTTTATACCGAATCCTTTCCACATCGATAATACGTAATAATAAAAAATAATCGAATGATTACCGTTTGTTCCGTTAGTAGTTTCTTTCTTTAACTTTTATCATTTACAATTAATACTGGCGGCAAAAAAAGGTAAAAGATTTAGCAACCATCTCACACACTTTTGCTTGTGTTTTGGCTCTATACGCGCACTTGCTACCACGATTTTTTATTCACTTAACAGTGAATCTAAAGTGTGCATCTGGCCTTAATAAAACGTAGTATTTTTACGATTATAACTGCACCACTGCACTGTAGTTCGTCGTGAGCAAAACACAAGACGACAAACTATTTTGGCATCAGTCCTTACTACTGAATGATGTTATATATGTTAGTTTCGATTGTCCAGAATAAAAATTTTCTATTTGTTTTTAATTATCATTAAAACTAAAATAACTACCGTATTGTTATTTTAATGCAAATAAGATAAAAAAGCTCTTAAAACATTTTTCTGGCTGTTTAATGAACCGATTTCAACGATAGCCTACAGAGATGAATAGAATACTGTTTATTGACTATAACAATTGTATTAATTGTAAACAATTGAAATGATTTTCCCAGACGAAGTTACTGATCAAAACTGGTTGATAATAAGATGTTGACCCGTGTAGCATTTAATATAATCTTTGTGATTCTCGTCTAGTGTTTTTATTTGTTGATAGTAGATAATTGTTTTTCTACCAAAAGGTAAACGATTTCCTTAGCAGTTTGGGGAAGACTGACAAAAAAGGCTCTACTTCCCGGAAAATTTTTGTATGAATCTTCCAGAAATTCTCATTGACAAGTGTGAGGTTGAAAATGTTACTAGGGGTCACTAAAAACGGTCACATTTATCGAAAATTTATACTTTAGAAAAGTGTTTATAAAAGGACCACTTAAATTGCCTTTTTTTCATAAGGAGGTTTAGACCATTGCTTATAGCATTCGACAGGACAGCAATTCGATTCCGAGCCCTTCTGCCCTGGTCCAACGTTCTCAGTATAGTTTCCTTGGATTATTTAGGTTAATACTGGGCCAGTAACATTCTACAGATAATATTTCACTCACTTTTGTCTTAATTTCGTCCGTCTCACCTTTCCCACTAGAACCACCACCCACACACACCCACAAGTATTAGTAGCTGGTGGGAATGAAAAACCCAAAAGTTTTTGTATTCGATTTAAATGGTTGTATAAAAATTTCTTGGTCGTCAGTATTCTGTTGAAGCTAACAAGCGTGAATCGTGATTTCGATCTCATTGGATATAATCAGCACGACGAAGACAGTTAAAACTGAACAGTGCAGACAGTTTGTGAACACCAATTTAGAAAATTGCCGTTTATTGTGAGATTTAATAAAATTCAACAAAAACTTTTTCTAGTTTCTGAGGTTGACTTGCCAAACAATTCCCATAGCGTAGCTCCTATATTATAATCTCATCGGCATGCTGCTGAGGGTGTTCACATAGTACCAACTACTTATTCAACATGGGCACAACAACAGGGTGTCCCATATTGGTTGGACACCCCTCAATTTATGGTGAACACCCTCACCGATCAAGAACCTAAGTTTATTAAAACCCTCTTAACTCAAGTATTGACAAAACAGTATTGTATGCAAATAAATAAAAGTAAATCAAAAATACTGGCATGCAAGAGAAGAAAAAGTACGGAAAGAGCGAATATAAAGATAGCAGCCGAAAATTAAAAGAAGTGGCTGTTTTTCGGTTTATAGGAAGTCAGATAACTCAGGATTGAAGTAGTAAAGATCGAGTCGCCTTCAACAAAAATAACTCACTTCTATGCTCGCGAACGGTTAGTTTAGTCTCAAGACTGACGACCTTATGATGATAAGGAACCCAAACGAGCGAGTTACTATCTAGTAAATGAGAAAAAAATAACTAAGTATTGTAACTGTTTAGGGTTTGCTGTCAATGAACCAAGAACAACTTGAAATTGACTCATAGTAGCACGAGCAGGTCTCACTGTGCATAACCATCGTGTGGGGCAGATTGGACTAGTAATTTAAAAAATTGTGTTTTCAGAAGATAAGCTACGCTTTTTAAAATAGCTTTAAAATTGTCACTTCCAGATACTTAACTTTCAAGTTCGTTGACAACAGTAAAAGCGAATAGAACTATTTATAGCTGCTATATGTGCTGTTAAGTTGAATGAATGAGAAGTGCAATGAAAATATTCAGGTAGAGTTTCAGTTTTTTTGATAATTGCCTGAACTCCGTTATATGTAATATGCTCACATACGTATTATCTGCCCCAATGTAAGTCTTCCACCGCAACTGATTGGTAGATAAATCAAAATCTCTTAGATATATCTATATGTGTACACAATCGGCAAAA